CCTTCTATTACGCTTTGGTCTATTTTCAATGAGAAGAGAAGTGCGCGATGACGAAGCAGTTGGTTGATCTTCCTGGAGTAAAGAAAAAGGATTCTCGATTTGAACGTTTGGGGAAATTACTTTAACCGGAGAAATTATTTTAGCTGGAGAAGCTTCGACCACATTATTTTCATCATCATTCACTTCAACGATATCAGTCATAACAGTTTCCCTATCACGATAAACGGAGTTCAAAGTATCACATTTTCGTAGTTGATTTTGATGTCTTTTCCATGTTAGTTCACTTTTACACACTTTCACCAAGTACACATTTTTACCCAATATTTTTGTTACATGAGAAATACACCATGAAGGTTTAACAACATTACGATAATCCTTAGCATAAACGCATTGCCCGACAGCGAATCTCTCGTCTCTCTCCCCCTTAAAATATTTTTTATTTTTATTTTGAGCATTTTTTAAATTTATTTGAATGTCTTCGGAAGATTTGGGTGGTTTGTCATTAATATTGCACGGGTTTAATAAATCAAACCTGGAACGAATTTGTCTGCCCAAAAACAAACGAGACGGAGTTTCACCCGTAGAACAGTGCTCAGTAATCCTATACGTTATTAAAAATCTATCTAATGCGCGATTGAAATTAATACTATTATTATACAAATTTAATTCTTTAATTAAAAAACTTTTAACTGTTTTGACACTATTCTCAGCAGCTCCATTTGAGGCTGCGTGATAGGTAGGTGATGTTAAATGGTTAATATTATTTTGCGATAAAAATAATTCAATTTCTGCAGACACAAACTGTCTGCCATTATCTGAACAGAGGGTCTTTGGTACCTAGAAAATAATCCTCTTAACCTATCAATAGTCTGAACAGACGTTATACTTGTCATTATAAAAACTTCAAGCCATTTAGAGTAGGCATCCACAACAATAAAATTAAGCAATATTTACCATTGATAGGTCCCAAAAAATCTATATGTATCCGGTCCCAAGGTTTATCAGCAATTGGCCATGATTGCAAAATTCCTTTTCTTGGATTTGCTTGTAAACCCTGGCACGCAGTACAAGCTTTACATATTTCTACGATATTTTTGTTTAAACTAGGCCACCACACATATGATCTAGCCAAGGACTTCATCTTGACAATGCCCATATGGGTGTTATGTAACATCTTTAAACTGGAAGTTTGCAAGGATTCCGGAACAACTACCCGGTTCCCCCATACAAGGACATTATTAATTATTGATAACTCGTCGCGCTTCCTAAAATATGGTTTTAATAATAGTTCGCGAGTTTCCTTTGGCCAACCAGATAAAATAAATGTGTAAATTTTGGACAAAATTTTATCCTTTTGAGTTGCCCTTTCTATTTCAAGTAAATCAATTTTCAATTCAGAGCATTCATTTAAATAATTAATTTGTAAAGCATCAATATTATCAATATCATTATTATCTGAAATGTTCACAGGTAATCGTGACAAAAAATCAGCAATATTTTTACTAGATTGTACATACTTTATGTCAAAATTAAATCCGCTCAAGAAACAAGCATATCTCTGTAGCCTATTAGCGGCCATTACAGGTATTCCCTTTTTAGGTCCAAAAATTGAAACCAAAGCTTTATTATCAGTGATTAAGGTGAACTTATGCCCAAATAAAAACTGATAAAATCTGTTTACCCCAAATATTATGCTAAAAGCATCCTTATCAATTTGACTCCAACGTTTTTGTTGATCATTTAAGGTTTTTGAGGCAAAACAAACAGGTCTTTCGACCCCGTTTTCAAAAACGTGAGACAGTACCGCCCCTACCCCGTAATCTGAGGCATCAACTGTTAAGTTTAGCGGTAATTCTGGGTCAAAATGTACCAAAAAATTATTTGATTGTAAAATAGTTTTAACTTTCTCGAAAGCTTCTTGACATTCTTTAGTCCACTTCCATGGATTTTCTTTTTTTATTAATTTATACAGGGGATGTAAAATAGTGGGAATGTTTGTTATAAATCGGTTATAGTAATTTATTGCTCCAATAAAAGACCTCAATTGACTTACATTATTTGAAACAGGAATATTTTCTATTGACTCTAATTTCTTTTTGGACTTATGCAATCCATTTGCACTTATATCGTAACCCAAATAAGAAACAGAGTCGGAAAAAAATTTGCATTTTTCCGATTTAACAGTAAGACCACAATCAGCCAAAATTTCCAAAACTTTTTCCAAATTTCGCATATGCGTAGGGTAATCCTTACCTGTTATAAGAATATCATCAAGAAAAACTGAAACCCCCTCAATATTGGAAAAAAGTTGGTCCATTAACCGTTGAAACTGCCCTGGAGCACAACTTACCCCATAAGGCAATCTATTATATGAGTGGAAATGGTTGTTAATTTTGCGGAATCTGGATCAAGAACAATTTGCTGATAAGCGGAGCTTAAATCGATTTTCGAAAATTGTCCACCTCCACTTAATTTTGCATATAGATCATCGATACGCGGAATAGGATATTTATCATCTACCAAAAATGGGTTCAACGTAATTTTATAGTCCCCACAAATTCGTACCGAGCCATCCTCTTTTAAAACAGGGACAATAGGCGTACCCCACTCGCTATGATCAATCGGTGTTATTATTCCAGAATCCATCAACCTTCCCAGTTCTTCTTCCACCTTTGCTTTTAGAGCATATGGCAGTGGCCTGGCTCTACAAAATTTTGGAACGCCATTTTCCGTTATGTATAACTTTAATTTAAATTTATTGAAACATCCAATTTTATTAGTAAACACCCCTGGATATTTTTTTTCTAAATTATTTATGTCTGAATTATCTTCTGCAAGCAAATTAATTGGTTTAAAACCAAGACCAAATTTAGAAATAAAATCACGACCCAGCAATGCAACATTACTTTCCTCAATAATGCAAAATTTCAAATTATTGTTTTGTTTATTATATTCTACAGGTAATTCTATCTGCCCAATTGGAGAAATTCTACCGCCTGTAAAATTGACTAAAGTTATATCCGTTTCTGTAAGCGGAATATTTCCAGAATAATTTTTAAAGATACTATAAGGAATACAAGATAAAGCTGCACCTGAGTCTAATTCAAACTCATATGCTTTATTATTCAACCATATTTCGATAATAATTGGTTTTGAAACATTATTATTAAGAGTATAGACCGGAAAATCATTAAGATTTAAATCAAAATTATTCAGAGAATTATTATCAACATCCAACCTATTAATATTTTTATTTTTACAGTTAACCGTGTTATGTGTTTTTATACGACAATTACTACAATATTTATTTGAGTTTCGATAAAATCACTTGGCCTCCAAATGCTTACCTTTGCGGCATATCGAACACAATTCACTAGTATTAGATTTCCTGCTCCCAGCGTTGCCAGATGTTCCAGGTTCTCCCGAAAATCTGCCTGTAGAGCGTGCGTTAGCGCCACTCGAATTTCCACGATAACTAGCTTGTGCCGACCTCCCCCGGCCTCTTTGGAATCCTCTCAACATAAAAACTTCATGCGGCTCTTGTTTTATAAATGGTTGGGGATGTTGTTCAGAAGTACGGTTTAAAGCACTGGTTTCACTTGCCAACGCAATCTGGAAAGCTGCAGTGAAACTTACAGTTGCTTTTTGTTCCAATAACTTTTCCAAAATTTTCCCTGAATTCATTCCACAAATAAATCTATCGCGGAGAATATTTGATAGTTGTTCTCCACTTGACACTTAAACTACGCAGTCTTACTGCCCAATCTTGAACACTTTCATTCGGAGATTTAAATGCTAAGTAAAACTTACATCTTTCAGCAAAAACAATCGTTTTTCCACTATAATAACCATCTAGGTGCTTCAAAAGATCTTCATAATCCGTATGCGATGGCTTAATTGGTGTACATAAATTTTGAAGTAAAATATAGGCCTCTTGAGCAAGTCCATTCAATAATATGGCCCTTTTTTTTGTTTCATTGCTAATGGAATTTGCTACAAAGAATTGTTCTAGTCGATTAATGTGAACGGTCCAGTCGTGAATTTTCGGGTCAAATTCTAACTGCAAACCAATGGTCGCCGCCACACAATTTCGTCCACACACTGATCAATTTTTAAAGAAAAAAACTAATTAAATCCGAACCACAACTATACTGTCTTTGTAACTTATTTTTCCGATTTCCTCGTCGCCACTTTGTAATGTTCCTTACTTGAAATAATACCCAAAAATATATGTTTTAACTGGTTTATTAAACACAATGGTACAAGTCCAAATCTATACTGATTTGCATAAAAATGCATAAATAATTTCCTAGCAGGAGCAAAGAAGGTGGTGGTAAATCAATGTATATTTATTATAAACATAATAAATACTTGGAATATCACACTTTGCAATATGAAATCAATGAGCCATCTGGTTCCCGATATCACCCAATCTTCAACACCATCTTATCTGTAGCAATCATCTTCATAATCTTGATTGCAATATGTTGCTGCTGTTTCAAGTACTGCTGTAGCTGTAAATGGATACCTTATTTCGGCCGATTTTTCCCCTCAGAAACGGTCACACGTGGAATCAGTATCTAAAGTCATGATTCATCGATATCCAACAGCAACAGCTTCAATTCCAATAAACCTGTCAGATTTTTAAAGCAAATTCCAAGAGCTCGACAATAACCAGAAGCACTCGAGGGAGACGATCAATTTCGAAAGGGAAATAACATCCATCAAATCAACCTATTGATTAATTTTGACAGGGGAGGAATATGTTATGTCACGCCACCGCTTTTGTTGCTACTGTCGCGCCACTGACCTGCAACGAAGCCACCACGCTTATTCAGCTAAATAGAAGAACTTAACACTATGAAACTACTGAAAACGTAAAAAGGTTTCTGACGTTTGAAGACAAACGTGTGGTTATAGGTAACCAGAAAACATACCCTATACGTATGTATCTATTTGTTACTTCTTCATCAATATCACTTCTGACAGCACCTATTTAACTACCACTTTTCCTTTATGCGAAAAAGTCGTAAGTGTCTTTTCGAAACATTACTATCTAATTTTAATGTAATCTAATTTATGTTTAGCCATATCCAAGAATATTCACTTACCTGAAGCTATAATATAGTTGTATCAGAATGAAAGTTAAATTTTGAAAATACGAGGTCATTACTATCATAGAAATAGTATCATTCAAATCAACACAAAGTTCACATAATTTATTGTAATCTTGACGAATTTCTCGCCAGTAGTACAAAGTATTCGGCTGTTGGTATTCTTTAGCTAATTTATCAGAAATTTGCTTGAATCTTGAAGCAAGCAAAATGCTCAATAGTATAATAAACATGTCATTGAAAGCCCAAGTGAGATTAGCTTGTGTTGTTATTAGCTGTGAAATGAATTATAAATAAAATAATTTTTATGTAATCGTCTACTCACGCTAGTATAAATACCCAAAGGCGTACTAAATTCTACATATCTGAAGAGATCCCTGAAAGTCCTATTGTAATACATACCAGCAGTGTAATTTCCTTTAAAATCTTGCAATAAACCAAAATATCTGTTTGAAATGCCTATTGCATGATCGCCTAAAAGTAATTCAGAAATTATACTGTATTTTTTGAAAAAAAAAGTGCATACTTACCAATTGCTAAAGCAAAATAAATGCTAGTAAAGAATCGGATTTTCTTATCAATTCCTTTAGGATATCCGTACCGTTTATTAAAAATGTCGTCTACATAACACCATTTACGAATAAGCATAGGGAATTTTATTGCAAAACGAATATAGAGTATTGAAACGATTAGGGAGCCTCCATATAATAACGAACTTGCTATATATTACGGAAGATATTTCGATTATTATTTTTTATAGAAATAAATGAATTGATTTCATTACCAACTGTTGGTATAGTAAACCCATTTTCAAACCCACTCATACCACAGAATATCATGGACCCTGTAAGACACCCTATGAAGAAAAAAGAGTAAATACTGCCTAAATTGCTCCATTTGAATTTCAGTTTTTCTTTGCCCTTTGAAATGTTTTCTAAAGGCAACAAACCAATTAGTTTCGTGAGATAAAGAAAAAATTTGAGGGAAGTGTAAATATTTTTTTCTTGAGGATTGAATTTTGTAAGGGTCCCAATTTTGTTCGATTTCGAAAAATAGAACATTATTAGTTCGGTTAGTGAAATATATTATTAAAAGCCGTCTACTATATTGCGTGTGGATGGAAATATTAATGATTTTGTTTTGCTGAACTACACGGACATGTTGATTGTTATCATGAATATACTTGAATTTTTACGTGCACTATTGGGGTAATTGATTTGGTCGAAGTCTCTCTGAAATTAGATACATTTATGTTAGGAAATTATACTTAAATATTTTAGAGTGAATTATATTTTTCGTTCAGTAAATCTTTTTAAAAACTATTTTTTTTATTGAAAACTAAGAAAGTACAACAAAAAATACTAGACTCAAATTGCTGCGACGTGAAGTCGATAACAAATGAATCTAAGCTAGAATACAAATGAATAACTGAGTAGATCTGCAAGCCGAATTTATAATTAAATATCGCTGAAACTGCAATCAGGTGGGCGATATGATGGTACTTTCCAGTGCAGTACCGCTGACTACCGCCAAAGAATATTATAGTTAACTATAGAAAACCTACGCTTATGGGCGACGGCAGACCGCTAGAGGCGCTGCTCCGGTGTTATAAATTGAAATAAATTATATTCGCGCTAGCTTTTCGGCAAACAAATTTTAACAGCGTTGCGCGATTCTCTCGGGCATTTAATATATTTTTTGTGATTTTACCTTGTAAGATGATAGACTAACTGCCGGGGCGGTTTTAGAATTTTTTACATCGACATATTAGATGATACCTAGTTGCTACGTCTAATTTGCTGTATAAATAGAAAATATATAAACTAAAACAAAATTATGCTCTGCGTGAGATAGGGAATGTTGAGTGGAGTCATTTTTGAAGTGGAAACTTCTTTAGAATCGTTGGGAGTGATTTGAGACTCGATGAAACGAAAAAGCGACCCGATGAAACTAAACGAAAAAGCAACACTTTTTTAACACGCTTATATTAATACAAACACACAACACACAACAGGAACCTGGAACAAGCCAAGTGAGCTGGAACAAGTCTGGATAAATCTGGATAAATCTGGATGAAGTCTGGAAAAGTCTGGAAATCTCTGGAAACGTCTGGAAAGAGCCTGGAAATTTCTGGAAAGGGTCGGAAAAATTCTGCCAAAGGTCCCAAAAGACCTGGAGATCATTTTCCAGAATTCGGATCAGTCTGTACAAGTCTGGATAGGGTCTGGATAAATCTGGATAAAGTCTGTAAAACTCTGGAAAACTCTGGATAAGTCTGGTTATTGTCTGGAAAAGTCTGGAAATTTCTGGAAACGTCTGGAAAAGACTTGGAAATTTTTGGAAAGGGTTGGAAAAAATCTGAAAAAGGTTCCAAAAGACCTGGGGATCATTTTCCAGAATCCGGATCAGTCTGAACAAGTCTGGAAAAAATCTGGATTAATCTGGATAAATTCTGGAAAACTCTGGAAAGCTCTGGAAACGTCTGGAAAGAGCCTGGAAATATCTGGAAAGGGTCGGAAAAATTCTGCCAAAGGTCCCAAAAGACCTGTGGATCATTTTCCAGAATCCCGATCAGTCTGTACAAGTCTGGATAAGGTCTGGATAAATCTTGATAAAGTCTGTAAAACTCTGGATAAGTCTGGAGAAGTCTGGAAACGTCTGGAAAAGACTTGGAAATTTCTGGAAAGGGTTGGAAAAATTCTGAAAAAGGTCCCAAAAAACCTGGGGATCATTTTCCAGAATCCGGATCAGTCTGAACAAGTCTGGATTAATCTGGATGATGTCTGGAAAACTCTGTAAAACTCTGGATAAGTCTGGATATTGTCTGGAAAAGTCTGGAAACGTTCCAGACTTGGAAATTTCTGGAAAGGGTTGGAAAAAATCTGAAAAAGGTCTCAAAAGACCTAGGGATCATTTTCCAGAATCCGGATCAGTCTGAACAAGTCTGGATTTATCGGGATGAAGTCTAGAAAACTCTGGAAAGCTCTGGATAAGTCTGGATAATGCCTGGAAATCTCTGGAAACGTCTGGAAAATGCCTGGAAATTTCTTGGAAGGGTCGGAAAAATTCTGAAAAAGGTACCAAAAGACCTGGGAATCATTTTCCAGAATCCGGATCAGTCTGTACAAGTCTGGATAAATCTGGATGAAATATGGAAAACTCTGGAAAGCCCTGAATAAGTCTGAATAATGTCTGGAAAAGTCTGGAAATATCTGGGGCTAACACGCTTTTGATACATCGAACTAAAAAGTGAAAAATAATTTTTAATATAAACAGAAAATATTAATGAACAAAAAATATTAAAATTATTGTCAAAAAAGCGTGGGGTGCTCAATGTATGAGAAATGTGGAACCAAACACCCCAGCGTGTATTTTAGTTTTTTTAAACTATGTTTATTTGCGTTCTTTCTCAAGTCTTTTGGAGGGGGGGACGCCACTGTCTATGTTAGTATGTGTGTAAAGCCTCATTTACACGGTGCAAGTAGCTTGAGCAAGTACTAACGCCAGTAACTAAATTATCTTTGTTTTCGTGCAAGTGGGTGTTTACATGCATTTTACTGATTTTAAGTCGAATTTAGTGATTAGTGCAAATTGAGGTGAAATGGCAGCAAGTACAGTTGTTCGAAAAGAAATTTAAAAATGCATTTTGAGTGTTTATGGAGAATTATCACACATTTTATTGAAAGAAATTGAAAATGGAAAACGTTGTTGGGTTCGACCATGGATATCTCGTAGAGAAACACATGGTGCATCTTCCACATTATTGGTTGAACTGGCTAAGGAAGATCCAAAAGAATATCGAAATTGTATGCGGATGACAAAAGAACAATTCAATAAGTTAACTTTTCGAAATAAAACCCATGATTAGCACACAAGATACTGTAATGAGACCTGCTATTCCAGTAAAAATTACATTGGAAATTACACTATCATATCTGGCAACAGGAAGCAGTTACAGACGACATTGCAAAGGCAACTAATAGGTGCAAGGTGCAACACAATACTCAAAATATTCAAATTCAAACCCCACTAATGTACTTCACTAATCACTAAATACAAATCCTGTCAACACACGTCCGGCCCGCTAAAGTCAGTAAAATAAACGAGAGGGGGAAGCCACTTGCTCAAGTAAATAGAACCAGCTTCTATTCACTTGACTAATTACTTGACTAAAGAGTTTACTTGCTCAAGTACTAAATTAAGGTGTCTACACGATTCAAGTTACTAAATTTTAGTTACTGGCGTTAGTACTTGCTCAAGCTACTTGCACCGTGTAAATGAGGCTTAATGCATGCAGTTCGATGAAGGTTTCACTTCTACCGGGTGTGAATTGCACAGGATTTTTTTTTTTGTCTGGCATTTTCAGGATGTGCATAAGCGCAACTAACTCCAAATACAAGGGGTGCTGACGAAATGAGACGCGTAAAAAAAAATTAGTTTTACGAAGGTTTTGTACTTACGTCATTTGCCTTTTTGAAAAATAGCTTTTTAAATGTCTGAAATTTCAACCAAACATATCGGGTCTTCAAAAAAAAAGCCAATCAAAGATTGCTATGGTTTTTTAAACGTACGTCTTAGCAATATTTTTCTTTAATTTTGACAATGTCAGTCAATGAAATTTAATGTCAAAATGTCATGTCAAAAATCCTGACCAATATACAAACAATAATGCGTACGTTTTCGTAACCAAAGCAATCTTTGATTGGTTTTTTTTGAAGACCCGATATATATAGTTCGTTGCACGACACGAGGGTTTTTACTTACGTCATCGATGACGTCATAACAATTTAAAGAAAAGATTAAGTCATAGATTATTTCAAAGAGCACCTTCGGAGTTATTGTTTTGTAATAAATTTTTTCTACGAGCGTGCGGAAAAGGGTACTTTTCCGCACGCATTTTAGGTCATTTAAGTATCACTTTTCCGCCTAGTGCTTTTCCGTTTTTTCCCGCACCGAGTGCGGAAAAATGATCACTTTTCCGCACTCCGTGCCGAAAAGTAGAATACCTGAGATTTTTAGGTATACAGGTACAGGGTGGCCCAAATTCGAGCCTCATCATTGGGATCTCGGAAACCGTGAGAGATACAGGGTCGGTTAAGTTATGGCAAAGTTGCGCATTTTGATGCTCAACAAAATGCCGCTTTGATATTTAGGATATTTCGAATACTTCCGGAGATATCCAGAAAAAACCGGAATTTTGCAAAATGTTTATTTTTTCCTGACTTTATTTGAAGTGATACTTCAAAAAAAATATTACTTCATCTTAGCCACTTTTTCTCCCCTACAAGATGCTATCATCAAATTTAAAATATGATGTTTCGTCTTTGGACCACCATCATCAACTTTACTTTTCTAAATACGGACCCTCGTTTTTTATTTCAGATTTCAAGAGCTTCTGATATCCCAAAACCTATGACGAATCGCATTTATTCGAAAAATTTATATTATTGGCACTTTCCATAAAAACTAAATGTGTTAGAGAGAGACAGAGAAAAGAATTTTGGTAGGAAATTACTAAGAAGTAAAAAAAAAAATATTTTTTTCTACTACCGTGCGTAAAGTACTCACTTTACGCGCTATTCAGAAGACGTAAAATTTCACTTCACGCACTAGTGCGTAAAGTAATGTCAATGACAGATGTCGACACT